GAAGTCCCGCGGCTCCTGTGGTCCCAGGGATTCCTCGCCGACGCATTTCTTCATCTTTGAAGCTGTTCTGAACATTCAGAAACCTCCTTTTTTCGCAGCAACCTTTGCAGTTACATTACATGAGACAGAACGCAGGCAGGTACACGACTTTCAGGTGTGGTCTTCTTTCTTTTGATGGTTGTCTGGTGAGGTGAAACATATTGTGCATCTAATTCGATGGAACTTGAAAGCTGTTTTATGCCAATTGGGGCAAGACTTGACCACGGTCCCGGTGCAGGGAACAATCGCACGAACAGTAGGTCTAGGAACTGGGTCCTGTTTTTTAATTAATTGTTTTGGTTTTTGTCTGGCATCAACTAGTTCCCCATTGGTCCCTAATCTTTCCCCGCGTGCCTCTCCGTAACGTGTTGTTGGGTTTAGGTGTGTGCGCTGTTTTTGTCAGGTCCGTTTCGCCGTGTAGGTTGGTTCTGGAGGTCCGTCTGTTCCCCTCCCCCCCCTGCGCTGTTTTGGCCGTCTGCCCGTCGTGTGTCCGCTTTTTCCTTCCTCTTGCCTTTCAGGGTTGACCCGGCTCCGGCCGGGTGTGTGTGTGTGTAACATCTAAATAGATGTAAAACTTCTCTCTTTTTTCTTCCTTTGTCCTCTCCCTTTCTAACTCTAATTGCAATGCAGGGGGCCACCGGGGTCCCGGGGGGGTCGGTGGCCACCGAAGACCCCCCCCCGGGACCCGTGTAAACGTACCTGCATTGTTAATTTCAATTTTTCGGATCTAATCTGCATGTTTCAGGATTCAGTTCCTGCCGGATCATATAATGATCCATTCTTGTCTAGTGTGTGCTTGTGATTGTTCCACTTTTCTTTTTTAGGTGGTGTACTTGCTGGTGTGGCTGATTGAACAGAGTAATTACTGGATTCATTGTCACACAACGAGGAAAATCAAGCCTTAAAAGCGTCCATCTTGCCTTTGTTGGTTTTTTAGGTGCTTGTTGAACCCTTATTGACCCTGTGCCATTCCATCTTGCGGCCATGTTGGGCCTATGCCAGGCTTATGCTGACGCTTTGTGGCATTTGGTGAAAGCTAATTGATCCCATGTCAGGCCATCTTCCCTCTATGTTGGCTCTATGCTGCGTTTATTTCATCTTCTAGGAAACAGATTCGGAAAAATTTGCCTATTCCAAGAACACAGAAAGTACACATTTCTGGACCAAACATGAGCTCAATTTCGTCCATGTCGTCCACTTTTCAGACGCTTGTTGAGCCCCATGTCAGGTCATCTTGCAGGTTTGTTGTGCCATTGTTGCGCGTATGTTGCTTTTTGTCGGCTTTTGACTTGCTGGCCCCAAGTACGTCCATGTCAGCTATGTTGGGCCTACATATCTTGGAATCATCTTGCAAGGGCCTGGTCCAGGCCTGGGTGCCTGCCTGTTCTTATGCCCGCCGGGCGTAAGCGCAGGCGGGGCTTTGGCAGCGCAGGTTTGGCAGGGTAAAGGCTGTTTTTTCATCATTTTAGGCCCAAAACCTGTTCGATGAAGGGCCTGCCTGTTCTTATGCCCGGCGGGCATAAGCGCAGGCGGGTGAAAAGGAGACATTTCATCCACAGGGTTGTTTTGCCGTGGATTCCCATGAGAAAGGGAAATTTCATCCATGGAATGGAGCCAGTTTGCAATGAAATGGCCAATTTGAAATGAAATGGAGCCAGTCTGGGGTAACTGGGGGTGTAAGCCAAGTACATAGACGACAGTCCATTTGGATGACTTAGTAAACCAGAGCTATGAAACATTATAAGTGGTATGACGTGTCCAGTGTTGCTTTCTTGCTTGGCTGTGGCGAATTCAGAGCCAACAAATGCCCCACAGAATTACGACCGAGTTTGTGAGCGGAGTAGAAAAACTCGGTCGTAATTTTTTTCCTTCTACAATGCCCGAGAAAGGATTCTAGGTGTATGTTGCAGACCATGGGGCCAGTTGACTATGGCCACTAACCAGATAACTCCTTTGTATCCATGTATGTTTGTAAATATGTCTGTCTGTCTGTCTGTCTGTCTGTCTGTCTGTCTGTATGTATGTATGTATGTATTTATGTATGTATGTATGTATGAATGTAATGTTATGTAATGTGATGTAATGTTATGTCACATTAAGTCGTGTAATGTTATGTTATGTTACATCATGTATGTCTGTATGTATGTATGTATGTGATGTAATGTTTTCACACTAAGTCATATAATGTTATGTTATGTTACATCATGTATGTCTGTATGTATGTATGTATGTGTGTATGTGCGTATCTGCGTATGTGCGTATGTGTGTATGTATGTATGTATGTATGTATGTATGTATGTATGTATGTATGTATGTGTGTATGTATGTATGTATGTATGTATGTATGTATGTATGTAATTAATGTAATGTACTGTAATCCTTAGTATGTAGTGTGTATGTATGTATGTATGTATGTATGTATGTATGTATGTATGTATGTATGTGTGTATGTATGTATGTATGTATGTATGTATGTATGTGCGTATGTCTGTGTGTATGAATGTATGTATGTATGCATGCATGCATGCATGCATGCATGCATGCATGTATGTATGTATGTATGCATGATAGATATATAGATAGAGAGATAGATAGATAGATAGATAGATAAATAGATATATAGATATATATATATATATAGATGGATAGATAGATAGATAGATAGATAGAGAGATAGACGGATATAGATAGATAGATAGATAGATAAATAAACAAATAGATGGATAGATAGATAGATAGACAGATAGAAGCATCGATCGATAAATAGATAGATCGATAGCTAAATAGATCGATAAAAAGATAGATAGATAGATAGATAGATAGATAGATAGATAGATCGATAGGTAGATAGATAGATACATAGAAGGATAGATTGATAAATAGATACATAGATAGACAACTAAATAGATAGATACATGGATAGATAGATGGATAAGGAGGTAAGTACATAGTCAGAGAAAAAGAAAGAAAGAGATGCGGACCAGGGGGGAATCGAATGGGGGGGGGGCCCCCCCTAAGTCTCCGTTCGTGACTCTCGGCTCTCAATTTCCGGGAAAGGACCACCCACCTCCCCCAGTACTAAACTAGTACTGGCTTTTGACTTGCTGGCCCCAAGTACGTCCATGTCAGCTATGTTGGGCCTACATATCTTGGAATCATCTTGCAAGGGCCTGGTCCAGGCCTGGGTGCCTGCCTGTTCTTATGCCCGCCGGGCGTAAGCGCAGGCGGGGCTTTGGCAGCGCAAGTTTGGCAGGGTAAAGGCTGTTTTTTTCATCATTTTAGGCCCAAAACCTGTTCGATGAAGGGCCTGCCTGTTCTTATGCCCGGCGGGCATAAGCGCAGGCGGGTGAAAAGGAGACATTTCATCCACAGGGTTGTTTTGCCGTGGATTCCCATGAGAAAGGGAAATTTCATCCATGGAATGGAGCCAGTTTGCAATGAAATGGCCAATTTGAAATGAAATGGAGCCAGTCTGGGGTAACTGGGGGTGTAAGCCAAGTACATAGACGACAGTCCATTTGGATGACTTAGTAAACCAGAGCTATGAAACATTATAAGTGGTATGACGTGTCCAGTGTTGCTTTCTTGCTTGGCTGTGACGAATTCAGAGCCAACAAATGCCCCACAGAATTACGACCGAGTTTGTGAGCGGAGTAGAAAAACTCGGCCGTATTTTTTTTTCCTTCTACAATGCCCGAGAAAGGATTCTAGGTGTATGTTGCAGACCATGGGGCCAGTTGACTATGGCCACTAACCAGATAACTCCTTTGTATCCATGTATGTTTGTAAATATGTCTGTCTGTCTGTCTGTCTGTATGTATGTATGTATGTATGAATGTAATGTGATGTAATGTTATGTCACATTAAGTCGTGTAATGTTATGTTATGTTACATCACGTATGTCTGTATGTATGTATGTATGTAAGTATGTATGTATGTATGTGATGTAATGTTTTTTCACACTAAGTCATATAATGTTATGTTATGTTACATCATGTATGTCTGTATGTATGTATGTATGTGTGTATCTGCGTATGTGTGTATGTGTGTGTGTGTATGTATGTATGTATGTATGTATGTGTGTATGTATGTATGTATGTATGTATGTATGTATGTATGTATGTATGTATGTATGTATGTATGTATGTATGTGCGTATGTCTGTGTGTATGTATGTATGTATGCATGCATGCATGCATGCATGCATGCATGTATGTATGTATGTATGTATGATAGATATAAAGATAGAGAGATAGATAGATAGATAAATAGATATATAGATATATATATATAGATAGATGGATAGATAGATAGATAGATAGATAGAGAGATAGAAGGATATAGATAGATAGATAGATAGATAAATAAACAAATAGATGGATATAGATACATGGATAGATAGATGGATAAGGAGGTAAGTACATAGTCAGAGAAAAAGAAAGAAAGAGATGCGGACCAGGGGGGAATCGAATGGGGGGGGGGCCCGTGACTCTCGGCTCTCAATTTCCAGGAAAGGAGCACCCACCTCCCCCAGTACTAAACTAGTACTAAAGTACATAGAACTCAGGTAGCCTAGGCTACCTTTCGTGAACTGAAAAAGGATGATTCTTTTTCGCGGAGTTGGCGGATTTATATTGATGTATGAATGTGGATGTGGGGCCTTAAACAATGATCAAAAATACAAGCCTGGAGAGAGTCATTTTGTACTGAAGTCCCGGAGGCGGAGGGAGCGATGGAGAGAGAGAGGGAGAGAGAGAGAGAGAGAGAGACAGAGAGAGAGAGAGATTCTGTGTCTTGAAAAATATTGAATATCTGTTGAATATGGGGCTCACTAATATGGTCAAGGACTCATTCGAAGAATTTGCCTCTATACTTCAACATATTTTCTACAATTTTGGAAAATATTAGC